GCTAGTCTTGAACTCCTGAGCTCAAATGATCCTCCTGCCTGGGCTTCTGAAAGCACTAAGATTATAGGCCTGACACGCTGCACCCTGCCTGGGTCTTTTTAAGTTTTACTTACCAACCGTTAATACTGTTGTATTTGTTTTGTAATATAAACTAAATATTACTTTGCCACATTTATTCAATTCCTCTCTCTTGTTAATATATGTGAATGAATATGTGCAGTTGTCTTAACAGTATATGTGGAGAATGGTTCCAGACCCATCCCTACAACCTGAATATGCAAATCCGTACATACTGAAGTCCTGCAGTTGTTGCAGATCCCACCAAAAAGTCAGTCCTCTGTATATTCAGGTTTCACATCCTGTGAATGGTGTATTTTCGATTGGTGTTAGGTTGATAAAAACCTGAATATAAGCAGACCCCGTGTTGGTCAAGGGTCATGTATCTAGACGTGTATATACACCTACACACACATACTCATACATGTGCATTTGTTTCCTCAACTTAGACATTAGGTCCTTTTACCCCTAAATAATTCAGTGTGAATTTCCTAAGATTAAAGATAGTCTCATATAGTCACAGTATAATTAGCACATTCAGGACTTATCCCTAATACAGTATTATTATCTAACATACAATTCATTTTCAAATTTTGTCAACTGTCTCCCAAAACTAACTTTGTGAAATTTTTTCTCCCTGAGCCAAGGATCTATTACTGTAATAATAATCCAAGGATCTATTATGATAATATTATAATGTATTACCATGTATCTAGGTGTCATGTGGTTTTAGTCTCCTTTAACTCTGAAGAGTTCTTAGTTTTCCTTGTGTTTTATGACTTTTTATAGAGCACAGGCTAACTGCATCATAGAATGTCCCTCATTTTTCACTTGTCTGAAGTTTCTTCATGATTAGATTTAGGTTAGACATTTGGGCAGGAATAAGGAATACTACAGAAATGATAATGCATTCTCAGTATATCATATGAAGATGTACTGAGGCATGTAATGTTAGTTTATCCCATTATTGGTGATACTAACTGGTCACTAGGTAAAGGTAATATTTGTCAGAATTTACCTATAAAGCTACCTTTTTGGGAAAAAAAAAAAAAAAAAAGCTACCTTTTTGAACTTTAAAATTAGTAAGTAGTCTGTGAAGAGATACTTTGTGTAAGTATCTTATTCCCTAACATACTTACATTTGATAGTTTTAGATTCCAATGATGATTCTGAATCAATATTACTATGCAGCTACAAAATGGTCATTCTTACATGCATATACATTTGTTGGTTGGCATTCAATTGTAAAGATCCTCTTTCTCAAAAAGGATATAAATATTACCACTAAACTGTATACTTAAAAATGGTAAAGATGACATATTAAAAAAATTTAAGATCCTCTTTCTATATTTATTATTAGCCTGCACTTATAAACTCTTATTCCATTCAATAAACTGTAATTCATTATTGTTAATATTTATTTTGATATTCAGGTTTGCTATATTTAGCCAGTTGGCACCTCTTTAAACTGGTTGTTGTGGTGCTGAATCGGAGTTAGAAGTATCAATGTGGGCTGGGCATGGTGGCTCATGCCTGTAATCCCAGCACTTTGGGAGGCTGAGGCAGGCAGATCATGTGAGGTCAGGAGTTTGAGGCTAGCCTGGCCAACCATGGCCAACATGATGAAACTGTGTTTCTACTAAAAAAAAAAAAAAATACAAAAAAATTAGCCAGTCATGCCTGTAGTGGTGCATGCCTGTAGTCCCAGCTACTTGGGAGGCTAAGGCAGGAGAATCTCTTGAACTCAGGAGGGTGAGGTTGCAGTGAGCCGAGATTGCGACAGTACACACCAACCTGGACGACAAAGCGAGACTCCATCCCCCCCCCAAGAAAAATCAGTATGATGTCATCTATAGTGTGTTAAGCCTCCTCCCCCTTCTCCCTCCACTGTCTCTACCAACTGAAGAGCCTAGAAATAATGACCAATGTAGCCATGACCACAACCCCCAAATCTTAATTTCTAAATAGGATTCCCCACTAAGAGATCAAGACTTCTTAAGAGAAACAGCTGAGGCAATGAAATTACAAAACAAACAAAAACCAAAACTAGGAACATTATGTTATGCCAGAAAATAAGGAACGGCTAAAAAAAAGAGAGAGACATTCAGATCTAATTTAATGATTTTACCTGCTATATAAAATTATATTGCAGAAGAAATCTCCATTTATCTTCCATTCTGCTACTGAAAAGCGTTTGAATTTCTTCTAATAATGACTCAATTAGCATCCATACATCTGTTTCCTTTTGTATATTTGTGAGAATTTACCCAGGGCATAAAAGTTCTTTTTTTTCTTCACTTTATCTTATATTTCATGACCTGTCTATGTTTCTAAACTCATTCATTCTACTGAGTGAACCAAAAAGGGTCATAGTTTGAGTCCTTCTTTCTTGTTTTACTATTCCATTTCTAGCCATCAAGATGCTTATCATGCATTTTGATCAAGGCTATATTTTTCTTTTCTAAGTTTTTATTATCGTAAATGAAAACATATGTAAAAATAGAGATGATATAATGAACACCCACGCTCCCATCACCCAACTTTAATAATTATCAACTCATGACTCATCTTGTTTTATTCATCATTCATGGCCCTGCGGGATTATTCTGATGACTATGTTTTTAGTTTTCTCTTTTTATATTGTATCCGTCATTGCTATAGACTTACAGTGGCAGAGGGGACATCAAAATAGCAACTAGTATCATCTTACCATCACAATCTATTTCATTTTTATTTTTATTTTATATTTTTAAGAGGTGGGGTTTCACTCTGCCACCAGGCTGGAGTGCAGTGGCATGATCATAGCTAACTGCAGTCTTGAACTCCTGGGCTTAAGCAGTCCTCCTACCTCAGCCTCCCAAGTACCTGGGACTAAAGGCATGTGCCACCATGACCTGTACTTCATTTTTAAATGCTTGTTTTAAACTCCAGCTTTATCCCAGAGCCCACTGACCACCGCTCTCATGGATTTAAAGCTCCAATAATTATCATATTTTGGCATAATGCTACATACATAGTAAGACATACTATGTGTCACTCATAATGAGAATAGAAATGCCAATCCCCTATCCACAAATATTTGCAAATTCACATATGGTATTATGTAATTTATAATTAAAATTATGCAATTTAAGGAATTCATTTTAAGAATCACTTCAGGCCGGGCGCGGTGGCTCAAGCCTGTAATCCCAGCACTTTGGGAGGCCGAGGCGGGTGGATCACGAGGTCAAGAGATCGAGACCATCCTG